AGTATGTCCTTTGGCTTCCAAAAATACCATCATGTTAGTATTTTGAGAGGTGAGGAAAGAAAGTTACAGCAAAAACTTAGGTAAATGTAAACTTCCTAATTTTAAGATGTCACTCACTTTAAGATGAGTTGGTACGAGCGTAGCTGGGACTTAGCAGAATGTACAGGAAGGCTGAGGAAGGGGAATGAGTATTTTGGGAACGGTCATTCTTGCCTTACTACTGAAATCAGCCTCTTTAAGTTGAGAACTGCTGTCCATATATTCCTGAAGGACTGAAGAAACTCCCAGTCTGGACGTACTACAAATATAACTATAGTAGAAAAGATATGTATGATCTTTATCTTGAGCTGCAAGGTATACAAGATGCAGTGAAATTGGTTCCTCTTAGTCCTACTTCAAGTATGTATAGCTGTTGCCAAACTTGCTGAAGTTGTTAGGAAGGGCGTACCAAAGAACATTTTAAAAGGTGTTTTGAATGAGGAATTAAACAAGCACTGGCCTTATAGGTTCACCAGCTCCTGATCGCAGGCACGAAATCACCACAGAACTGTACAGATATTATGTTCAGAAGAGATTGTGGGAGGTCTCTAGTCCAATGTATCCTGGTCAAAGCAGGGCCAACGCTGCATTCAGACTGGGTAGCTTAGGGTTGTCGCAGAGAAGGTGGTGTTTTTTTTTTCTTTTTCTTTTTTTTTTTCCTTAGGTCAAATCAGAACCTTCCCAGTGTCAATTCATGACCTTGCCATCTTCATGAAGATGGCTGAAATGAACGTGATTAATGTGAATGAATCTGGGAAGACATGGGGATAGAGAAGGGTAGTGGCTTCACAGGGCTCAGCAGTATGCTGGCAGGGAGCTTCCTTGTTTGGGCCTTCTGCGAGTTGGGGCTTTGGGGTTGACAAGGTGGGACGGAGTGAAAACGGTGCAAATGCCAGTGGAGAGGCAGTTTCAGGAGGCAAACGAACAAGGAGAGGGGGAAACCTCAGATGGTTAGGAAAGTCAGCGTTCAGAGAAGGGAAGGAAGACACCAGAAAACTTATTTTCTCTGAATGTTGAAATTCAAACCCATTTTTCTGGAATAAATTATTACACTTCTAAAATGTTCCTTGCAAATACAGGCTTTATTCTGCTCTCACCTTGTATGTGTACACACAGGGTGTTCGTTTGAACTGCTCCAGGCAGTATGTCTCTATACCAGAGGCCCTCTAAAGTTTTGTTGCTGCTTTGAAAACCGGAGCAACACCGAAGGCTTTTTACTAGAGGTCAAGATGGTGTTTCAGAGCTTCCAAAATCAAGTCACAAAAGCCTTAATCTTTTAAGGTCTCCTTTCTCCCCTTTTTTATTTTTTTTTTTTGTTTGTTTTGCTTAATGTCATTGTAGAGTTACGGAATTCAAGCAGTGTTTGACTAGTTACTTATCCCTTTTGGTCTCTTCACTTACCTGTAGAAATAGATTTTACTGAGAACAACAGGAAATAAATGTAATCCTGGCATACGTAACTGTGGAAGTGTTAGATTCTGCTGAAGTGTCTGAGCGCTTCAGCTAAGGATTTATGAAGCTGTAGTGGCTGGGCGAGCTCCGGCGCCAGGGCCGTGGCGCAGAGCAGGAGGAAGCGCACCTCTCAGCTGTTGACGTGGGAAAATGTACATACCGTTACCCGCAAATGTAAGCGCTAGGAGGTCTGCCGTGCCGGGCGCTTCTGTTCGTCTGTGCTTACGTAGCAAGGCAGTCCGGAGGATTACCGGAACGTGCAGATCAAAAGGTTTTAAATCACTGCAGTTAGTTACTGGGTATTAGCACTTCTACGTTTGGGGGATAGTTCTTTCACTTAAAAGCAGGTTAGCTTTTGAACAACCTACGTTTACAACAATGTTCTGAAAACACAGAATTTCATGCATAGTTTTTGGGCGGGGGATTTTTTTGGTGGTTGTTTTTGAGAACTGACTCTTCGCATTTAATACATGAAGTCGTTTCCAGAGGCGAACTTTAATTCCTTCAAAGTCGATGTTATTTCTAGCTGTCACGGCAAGATCATCGCCGGTTCAGTATTTTTGTCCTAGAACTTTCCGTACGAATGCCACACTCGCAGCAGTTTCGCTAACAGCAGGACGTACAGTATGAAATGGAACGCGTGTCGGTCTCCGCATGCGCCCGGGGGGGGTGGGG